GAATCTTGCTGATGAAGATGTAGAGTATCTTCATTGTAAATGCTACGTCTGCTGTCGGTGCCTCAGCTGGAACGTTGTTTGTTGGTGTTACTTTGCCGCTCTTGATCAGTCTGTTGGCTATATTGATCTCTTCAATTGTTGATGAGCCAACATTGATCAGGAGGTCAGAGTATAAGGCTACAATGTTGGATAGGTTCAGTGGGTTTGGTCTAGTCGAGAATTCTTCAAAGTGCTCTACCCACCCGTTTCGAAGTTTTTCAGTATCGATTTATTCTTTGCCTTCTTGAATTTCAATGGTCGTTCTGGTTCACGATAATTTCAATCAAGCTTCTTTGCTGTATCAAAAAATTGTTTCGTGTTCCCTTCACTTGAAGCTTTTTCGACCGTTATTGCTAGATCTTCCACATATTGAGTTTGTCAGCTCTGATTCTCCCCTCCTCTTACCTGTTTGCTTCTGTGCGTTCAGCCTGTGCCTTGGCTTTCTCTCTCTCGTGTAGATGATATTGCTTGATGCCTTATTCATTCTCCTTCCTTGAATCTTATCCAGTGTAACAACAGTGGTCAATTTCTTTTTATGGTGCTCCTAGTGTCCCAGAACCTCCTGAAATGTTGAAGTTATTACCTACTTGATCGCTTTACAGTTTTTCTACAGGCACCAGTCCCTGAAGGGCTCCAGATGGAGTAATTTTTCTTTACATTGAAAAGCTTGCTTGTTACTTACCTGCTTACGCCAGTTACCCCTATATGAGAATCTAGTGTCGATCAGTATTCTGCAACCTACTCTGTCCTGGGCATTCATTCCCAGTTCTACTCAACTGGTATTCATTCTTTTCATTTCTGCCGCCAATTTTCGGTTCAATGTCCCTTTGTCTAGAGCCCTTCTATAGTGTCTGCCACTGCCAAGCCCGGATAAAGGAGGGTTGAACCACATCCCGCAGACAATTCAGAGTCTAAAAAAAGCTTTTAGTGAAACAGGTACTTAATTTAACCAAAAGTTTTAGGTATTACTTCTTGGTTATTCGTTGAAATAATGTCATTACATGACAAAAACACGCTCAATTTTATTAAATTATTAGAAAGCACACGAAAACACAGTATGAATTCAGAACAAAACTCCAATTAGTGTGATGTTAGTACCTAGAGGACATAAAAAATATGGCACTAACAATTACTCTCAACTCAGTTCACGCAAATTTGTAAATTCTGTATGAAGTACAAATATTTATTTAGAAAATATTTTTAAAACACTTTAAATAAATTAGTCACAAATGAAATGAGCTTATATGAATTTTGAGAGAAACACTTTTGTCCATCTGTAGTGGTATAAAGTATAAAAGTATATAAATTTACAAAAGTTGTCTAATCACTTTAAGTTTTATTTGATAAAGCCAGTATATGAAATTCGTCTGGTCAGTAAAACGAATGGTAACTATCACGCAAATATTGACAGAAACACTGGGTTTTTATAGAAAATCGAAAAATAAATCATTATGGCTGAAAAATGTTAACACAATGACAACTTATGATATTCTTTGACGTTTATATCTTAGTTTTTGTTGCATAAATTAGTTTTTAGATTTTAACCCTGTACTTAAAATAGTCTGCAGTTTGAAATTATATATTGTGACGCTAACTAAGCTTTGTAATTTGTTAAATCTAGTCAATATTTTTAAAGTCAGTTTGTAATAGAAGAGCATTGACAAACTTTTTAAATGTTTACATATTGAAATTAGTTTAAAAAGGAATCCGATTGCCAGGTGCACAAGTAATTCGTTTCATGAGGTCAAAATTATTTATTGATGTTTATAAGCTTCATTACTTCAAAATAGTGACTATAACGGACATATATAGATTTCCTATGCAGGCTATCTATCGTAAAAGATCCATGAAATCATAATTGTATCTTCAGGCTTTTAATATTGTGTTTCGTCAGACTCATAGAAAAACTAACCAGGTATGATGGAAGAATAAGCAAGTGTCTAATTTATAACACTCATAAACTTCGTGTAGCTGATTTGTATTAAGTGTTCTCTTTATTTTTGTTACACACTATTTTGTATCGCTTGAACAATGAAACTCGAACTTTCAAAAAAGATGTTGTTAGTTAAGTGAGCTGTTTTCAAATGACATTACTTAAACTATATAAAAGCAACTGTCATTATAGGGTTATGGAGATTGTTTAGTTTCATTGCAGCCGTGGATCAATCAATTTTAGACAGCCATTAGGAAGAAATCCAAAAGCACTGGACGCCAATTCGCCTAAATATGGGACTCATGGGCATTGCTCATCCGCGATCTTATCAGCTGAAATCGAACCAACCCCCTCCAGTCCCAATGAGTTGAAATCTAGCGATGTTCATGTCTAATTTTCATCAATCCACGATACTCTATGATCTCGTCAATTGCCTTCGGTAGTTCAGTGTTTCACATCAGACAAATGTGATTTCATTGAAACTCAACAATCTCCACAACCCTATGGTAACAATTATCTTTTGCTCGTTCGTTGAATAAACAATATTGGTTCCATCTTCTTTCGACTAAACCGCTCACTAGAATGAGAGGATTTATTTGTGTATACGCTTTCTTGATAGAGACCTCAGAATTCTAGTTTGTTCACCTATACATCGAATATACCGCATCTATTTAATATACACTTTACCAACCGAGTAATGACCACTAAACACACAATCATCATAAATAGACCGGTGAAAAGGAAAATGTTTTGTAAATCAAATAACTGCAAATTGAATGAAATAATCCAATTAAATAAATGCAGAACATCGGCAAAAAGTATTGACTTTGAATTTATTAATTGAATAAAAATTCAGTGAACGTTCATTGACAGAAAAATCACCTTAAATCAAAGCAAGAATTTCAGACTGCTTTTATTTCTGTCATATGATATGTACGGATAACTTAGACCAAACAACTAGTAACTTAAATATTCATAATAAGCTTACACTATGTATTGCTCATAAATAAAGATCAACATTCTTTGTCATTGAAATTTTAATTTTTCATACAAAGATGTAAAATAACCTGCTTTTGACTGATTTCATATCATCACTTGAGAGTGGAGAGAAACTTGACGTTGTCACATCACCTGAAAGTATCAGGGTCAGTAATAACAATTAATAATAACGACCGCGTTTTCATTCATTTGGTCACTAAATTATACATAGTTCGTAATAATTTTTATTGACGAATCCAGTGAAGGTATGACCTTAGCTATGTAGTCATTTTTCTCTCTTCATGACTGACTGCACAACACTTTATACGTGTTGATTCTGTCATAGAGAATGTCCCAATGTTCATAGATTTATGAGAACCTTTAATAAATACTGTGGTTAGAAGAAACTTGATTCCTAGGTACGGCAGGAAAATGGCGAACGACACTGAAGTATATTCCCATCTCTCATTTGAATACATTAACTTCAAAATGCTAATTATTTGTTAGATTTTCAAAAAAATTGTTCTGTGTACATATCTTAGATCATCTTTAAATTAACAATCATACAGTTTTTCATCAAATTCTAAGAGCAATAAAGCTATTTGACTCTTGATATTTATCTTTCACTATTGAATCGTATTGACTGACGTTACTTCTTATGATGATAATATTTTGGATATAGTTATGGCATCTGTCAAGTATATTGACTATCATTTCTCCAAACTAAAGATTTTCGGGAATATTCACAATAACCGCTCTTGCACTGAAAAACTACTCAGACTATATTGCATTTAATTCTAAAACAACTGAGTTTGAAATTTTTCCAATGAAGAATTTTATTAATTGGAACCAGTGTTTATCCGATAACTGTAATTAAGTAGATGTTAGTTAACATTTGTAGCTAATAATACTGACTTTATATCTTGGAGAGAACATTAATTCTGAGCTGTAGCAGGATTTAACTCATGTCCTGTATTCTATTGCCAGCTACGAAGCAACTTTGCTGAAAATGTTTCTGATTTAATGACAGTATGAAGGTAGTCCATACAGGATGCACCTGTCGCAAAAGAGACTGATCCATTTGAGATTCTAGCAACCACGTTACACGTGTAATCGGCTGTCACCGAAGGGAAAAGAAGATCTAAAACCACAACACACAAGATTAATTAAGCACTTCACACCAAGAGAGAACATGGACTGGAAACCACGGGACATTTTTTCTCGAAAATTAAATTTCTCAGGCTAAGTACAGAAAGGAATCGCTTGTTTACTAACGTTTAATGAGTCATCCTGTAAGTTGAATGTCCGCAAGGTTTGCTCTTCGGTTTCCAAAGCGTTTATGTTTGATCACTCTGCAATAGAAAGAAAATGGAACCAGTTAGCAACATTATACATAGTGATTTTAATTATGTTACACATTTTCTCTGAAACTGGATACAATTTTCTATTAAAAAGAAGTTGATGTCTATCTGTCATGCCATTAACTTTGAGCAAAGCTTTGATTTGATTTAATAGTACGGGAAAAAAAGCAACCGAATTTCCAAATGTTTGTCTAGACTATTACACAGGCAAAGCTAATATAAATCCCATTTAACAATCAAACTATGTACATAGATATTCTTCAATTGACAAAAGGACAATGATATGTCTCTAAGTTTAAAAATTTTTGTTTAATGAGCCATTCGAAGAGTTACCAATAAAAGATAAAAACTGATTTGTTCTTATGTAGAATAAAACAAACAAAAAAAAAACGTAGAGAAACAACCCAAACGATAGTAGAACTGACAGCACCAGTCCAATGAATAATTATCAAAGATCAAACTAAATGAAAGTAGAAAAAATTATCAGAAAAAAAAATAAAATAAAAACCAAAAAAACAAAAAAACATAAATGTCATTTTTAATTCGAACTATGGATTAATTTTTCAAATTTTAATCCGTATAGATTTAATGTTCAAGATGCTTGGGAAAATTTGTTCAATTTATCTGATATTTCTGTTTTGTTGCTTTTCTCTGTGTGTGAGTGTGCGTGGGTTCTTTTTAAAAAAAATATGAATAGCTTTTTTAAAAGGAATAAAGACAAAAATAAAAGTTTTTATTATTGTACAGTCAAGTCATTTGTTATCCTAATTCAAAGTCATGATTGTTTACCGATTGAATTGATTTATGCTAAGTGAGAGATATTACATGAAATCATTCATAAAACCATATCAGATATCTTAAATAAGGTTGTGTTTTTTTTCAATGTTTACTTTGAAGTATCATTCACTAACTAATGTTACTGATTAACATTTTTATTTTATTCTGCAATAAGTCTATGGATAAATGTTGATCCATTAACATATATTTGGTAATAGTGAAAAAATTATGTTTTCGACGATATCGATTTCCGGAGCGTATTTGCAGGTAATATTTCAGATAGTAATAGTTCTCTAGTAATTAACTAATTCAGGGAAGTGTAAAGGATAGACCGCAACTTTGGGGTCACATGGACGTCTATTTATCAGTACATTTGCTCCTGTGGAATAAGTTGCGTTGGATGTACAAAGCGTGCACTTGGTAGACAAATATTGAAGCACTATCCTTCATGGCTATCTAGAGGAGAATGCAAATCAATCAGTAGCTCAGTCCTTCAGCATGTGATCGAACTGTGTCATAACCCATTGCGTGAATCATCCATCAAGATCCTCTATATAAAGAGAAAAAAAATCGGTCTAAACAAGTTTGGATGAGGAGTTTGTGCACAGCTGGAGACGTAGAAATTCATTTTTTTCAAACCCGATCATGTTCAGTCCTTTACACTTTCATAGTCGAAACAACCCTTCGGAATTTTACAAATTATTAGTGCCAAGTGTTACCTTACAAAGTAGATAATTATTTTTTGTTTATTATCTACAGAATATCACTAATTGCTTCTCAAACTAGCACTACTATTGTAAACTGTCTATTTTCGATCAGTTCGCCGAATAATGTGCCCTCATTTCACTCAATTCCTTAAATGATTGTGTGGAAGATTACTTATAAGCACGTTCGTACGGCTTCGGAAAATGATATCATCCAAAAATCTTTCTTTGTTATTATGCCTTCTCTCATTTTATTGAATCGATAGGCTTCTTTAGTACATATGTTGTAGTAAAATACTTCGAAAATTTCTAAAGTTTCCTTATAAGCTTACTACACAGTTAATGCTTATAAATGATGACAGATGTCAGACCGAAATAGATTCATGACTGCCTAACCGTAGTTTTTACGAACACTCGAATTATGAGGAAGCGTTTCGACGTTTAATTACATATTTTCACAACATATCAGAATTTTATCACTTCAAAATGTCATTGTTCTTTAGTAACCTAAGCTTATACTATCTGACAAAAATAGTATTTCAAAAGCACTAAACTGACAATGATGGGCCTAATCACTCACACTTCTATTAATTTACATTTTAGCACTAGAGAATTTCGCTAATTACGAAGTTGATTTTCTAATTTATCGGCTTCTAAATTATGTGCAACTTTATTTTTAATCAGACGCCCTTATCGATGTCATGTTTCTTCATCAAACCGAATTTAAACTATTCATAATTACAAAACACTCGGCTGATTCGATTCCTAGATCTTAATGTATAGGAATATTCATACGATCCCCTTTTTTGAAATTTAAATATTTTTTGGCATGAGTGTTAAAATTTTTAGAGTAAACTATTGATTATCATGACTGATGAAACCTATTCTAAAGACTCTGATCTATACTAATTTCAGTGGACTTATTTTGTTATTTTCAGTCACAACTTATTTCAAAGTATGTTCTTTTGTTATCAGTTGCTTTGAAAATTTTCTTAGTTCTAATGTCACACCATGACTTTGTCGTAAAACTTCAATATCAAACTGAGACGTTTCACCGTCTTTTCCACTCTTAAATACGTTGTTTAGTTTAAGTATCATTTTTTTGTAATATCGGTAGTTAAAATGTTTTATTATTAATATTAAATACCTGTTTTCAGTATTAAAGTGTTGAAATTTATTTAGGAGGTGTTTTTTGTGTAACTTTGGTTAATTTAAAACAGGAAGATGCCTTTGAATGATAAATCTTCTATTGAGCTCATGAAAATCTTGTTTCTGCTGAAACCCATGTACAATCAAGTAGCTTTACGATGATGTTTCGTCCTTCTATAATGAACATTAGCTGGCATAGCTGTTAAACCTGTATAGATCATTGGATGGCTGCCAGAAAATTCAGTTCAGTTTATACAGGCTATTAAGGAGATAGAATGATTTCATCTTATCACAGCCTGGTAGACTTCCCAGAATATCGATGTGACGTTTAGTAACTGAACAACTATGTAACATTTCCTGTTTGCAGATTGGATACTTAGAACGATTTTTATAGTTTAAACCAGAAGTATAAGCATACTTGATCTTCCAGTACATTTTTACACTTACTGCAATTCACTGCCATTTATTCTGTTTTCTTCTGCCTCATGATTTGCCCTTTGCAAATGGATTTACTGGTTATAATACCGAAGTTGTATTCCGTATTAGCTATATCAAGTAAGAGACTTAAAATAATATCAGAAATCATCAGTAAAATAAACGATAAAAGTACTGATTTCGATTTTCGAACAACTTTCCGTTTTCAGCTGGTGTGAAAGTTCCCTGTTGATACTGAGGGCTTCTAGTTCATTCAATTCTATAAACATGTCGTGTTGAGAATTGCCAGAAAAAAAAAGAATTTGTCGAGACCTTAAGTCGATTACCATCAGATGACTCAGTATTTTTTAATTTAACTGCTTTAAGAGTATATATCACGGTTATAAATGATAAGACTTAAAATGTCGGAAATTTTCTATTAAAAACACCATTCTTAATAGATTATTATAAGTTGAATGCCCATTAAGCCTTGTTGCTTAGTCACCAATGTCGGTGTTGAACAATGTTTTTTAAATAATAAACGTTGCTCGTGAATATACTGTGTATTATTTTAAATGTTAGAAATTTTCGAATATGAACAAACTTTAATTTAATTAAACACATTACAACCAAAGAAAGTTATTGATATTACAGTAACATCTGATGAAAAATGGCTGTTGTATTTAATTTAGTAAAATATCAAAACTTTATTTCAATAATAGTAATAATAATATTTGTATCATATAATGAAATTGTTATAAAAGCATAAAGTTGAAACCTTTACATCCTTGTAATTTTTTAGAGACTTTGAAGGTGCACTCTAACGATCTTAGGAAAATTGGGAAAATCTAAGTTAGGTAATCACAAAAACCAGGAAATACTTGTTGACCTTACAGTCATAAAATGGAACACTTCACCAATGTACACCTATGATTTTACTGCATATATTAAACCGAGCAACTCTATTTCCCTCAGTAACCCTGGAGCTTTAGACCATTAGATGTGAAATTTAGTGGTTTATATATCTGATTACATTCAACTAGTGGTATCTTATAACTATATTCGGATATCTTCGGTAGATGCCAGACACAGTTTACTTTTTCTGGTCACAGTTTCTTCATATGAAATCTAGTATGTCTCATTCGATGTTAGCCATAAACGGCCACATGAATATTTAAAGCGTAGTGATCTGTGAATCCGTTGGATTTTATTGGGCTCGTGAACCAAAAATTTTTCAGTCAGACATCAAGAAAATCAGGAAGCACTGGACAGAGTTTGCTGCAAAAGATGATTAGGTGTTCAAACTCTAGTTGGTATATGCATGTATAATACTAAAAATTCGCATATAAAGACAAAACAAGTGTTTCATGCTGATTGGTTTTTAACGGCTGACAACTTGGATTGCTTACTGATCTTCATTGTACTCGGTAATCTTCACAACCTCCAACACTGGAAATCGTAAAGAAATCAATATACTGAATAAGTATATCAATCCATTAAAAGTTAATTTAAATGTTTACTTTGATCCAGATATTTAAATAGTAAATCTGAAGCAAACTGCTGCACGTAGGCATTTCACTTTGTACGCATAATAAACCCATAACTATGACAATGAAACAGATCTTTCGAGTCGTTAAGGACAACAAATACGGTTGAGTCAAGAAAATGTTTGTTTAACAAAAACTAGAAGTATATATATAAACCTTTATTTGTTCTACAAGTTGTTCCTCCCTTGCATTTTTTTACAGATATCCATTGGATTCAGTGAGAATTATTCCTCAATTAAGAATACAGTATATTAATTGGGTAAGAATTTTTATTTCCATGTATACTGTTTAATGTGATGAATCTTTTAAATTTTAATTTACTAAAGCAGTTACATATTTGATGATAAAAAAAGGTTGGTAATTGGTCATCTTTGCAAAATCAAAGTCTACCCATCTATAATATGCAGCTGGTGGTGGAAACTAAGATGCTCATATTACACTCTTTAGAAGTTGTCAGCTGAACAAGCCTGAATCTCAGTGTTGGTTTTAACAATGCGACTCAAATGCTAACTGAGAATAAAATAATTTCAAGCCACTGATAAACTTCATTTAACATTGACACTTAGAAACTTTCTAAATATGGCAAAAAGTATTCATTTTCAATAGTACTTCGTAAAACCAATAGATGTTTTAAAAGTTTTCTTTCACAATACAAATCCTCTGTTTTCCAACTTTCATTTTTCCTTGAAACTATGGTTGGATTTCTCATGAAAATGAGATCAATAAAGTTTACATGAGAAGCTATTTTATAAAAATAAAAATTCCGCTTTTTTGTATCATTACATACGGTGAACTAAATGAAATTTTCGTTTCCGTGCAAGAACGAAGGTCCTGGGTTAGAATCCAGTGAGCTGCAGGAGTCATGGATGCGCACTGATGATGAGTCTTATACCAGGACTAGACAGCTGTCAAGTGCTTCCAGGTGGTTAAAATTGATCGATTCATGATTTCAATAATTGAATCATTCATACACTTTACTTACTTACTTATGCCTGTTATCCCCAACGGAGCATAGGCCGCCCACCAGTTTTCTCCAACCAACTCTGTCCTGGGTTTCCCTTTCCAGTTCTGTCCAATGTTGTTCATTAATCCCATATCTTTCTCTATTTCTCGACGTAATGTGTTCCTTGGCCTTCCTGTTTTCCTTTTGCCTTGAGGTTTCCAAGTGAGGGCTTGTCTTGTGACGCAGTTAGGTGCTTTTCTCAGTGTGTGTCCTATCCACTTCCACCGCTTCTTCCTGATTTCCAACTCTTCTGGAATCCGGTTAACCACAGCAGATTGGTGCTGATGGTATCTGGCCAAGGAATCCGAAGTATTTTGTGTAGACAACTGTTGATAAACACTTGTATCTTATGGATGATGGCTTTAACCACGTAAAATAGATTACATAAAAAAGAGAACAACTGAAATTATATCCACATATTTTATGATAATAATAGAAGATAATTATGTTGTCATCTTTATCCACTAGTGAGATACTAGATGAAAATGAAAATACAAAAATAAATTTAAAAAAAAAGAGAATGCATTTAACGCAACATATCAATAGGTAAACATCATTCCAAATTGAATTAAGAGATTCATAAATTGTTCAAACATACTAAAGATATCTAAACACACTTGAAAAATAAAACGAGAAACTGATTCATATCAATTTTAAATGGAGAATAGCATGCATGATATTATTCGTGTAGTGTAGTTTTTATCTCTGTCTTACCAATGTTGTATCATTAATTGGAATCTTTTAAATAATTTGTTATTCATTCTGTTCGTTTTTTTTCCATAATTCAATCTATTGAAATCTTTTATTTTTTTTTAAAAATGGATGCCGTAATTTAGACAAAAATAAATAATTTGAAACTTTATGGTTATATGTTTATTAATAATTAGTTATTATTCACGTAATATCTTAAATAGTAGAAAGAAATTAAATTTCTGATTTAAAAACTTAATTTCTATTGTTTCTTCAAAAGAAGCACGTCAATGAAATAAACTGAAATCAGTTCAGTTTAGGTAAAGCATAGAAATTTCGAAGATAAATTTCAATATAATATAAACACATCTGATCAATTCTGATGCCATACTGTTCAAAGTAAAAACTTGTATATATTCGCGAAAATCTGAACAAGTATGGAAAATGTTAAGTTTTTAATATTTAAAAAAAAAAATGGTCTTCAGCTAATGTGTTCATTTTAGCAATGATGTAAGACTTATATTGAATAGATGTGGGAATTTGAAAAAAATCGATTCAAGTTCTATGGATAATTGTCTTTTTTATTCTTATCAATGTATAGTTAAACATGGCATGAAACGTTTCAATAACTTGTTCCACTATACACTTGGAAAATTCGTTTTGGGAAAAAAATTAGCCTATTTTAAAATTAGTTTTATTGATTGATTTTTGAAAATAACATGTGCTGCTAGTACCAGACTTTTGAGTTCTACAAACTTATTATTGGAAAGCATATTACATGACACGAGTTAGGATTACATAAGAAGACTGTGAAATACATAAACTACTACAATACACACAATTTACTGTGTACACTCAACTCATTCTCATAGTTTTATCAATTATTTATCATTTGGCATAATTTCATTAGTACTTTTTTCACACAATCCAAATGATCTTACTCACGTACATCTTTCAGATTTGTTTTGATTGAATAATGATAAATACTAACTGTGTTCACTGACGAGCTGTGATAAGTAGGTTTAAAATTATGACGATACTAATCACTGGAAGACTTAAATGAAAGTATTGCATCTGTTGGCATATTTTGTTTATACTTTAGTGGCCTGGGATCTGACTTCAATTTGTGCAAACCATTTGAATATGCTATGCAAGACAAGCAATAAGTGAAGTAAACATGCACACACACTGAAATAAAACCTACCAAGATATAAGCGAATAACTAACGAGGTCGAAAGATGTAAGAATAATATTTCATAAAGAATTGTTGTCAAACATTCGTCTAATGTGTTTCACTAATTCCAAGTATTACGAAATTTTATCTTTTTTTTCATGCAGCAACTTGGATGACTCTTCCGATCTCCCACATTGTACGAACATTCCGTGTACTTAAATTAAGGGTTTCGCTGGTTCTCACAAGGGGCATCGGCTTCGTGACTTTCTAATAAACTTAGCTTTCATCATGAAACGTCATAACTAATCTAAATGAAAACCTTTTAACTTCAAGGCTACAGTTAAATTGGTTTTCTGGCTAGCGATTTTTAGCGAGTTAGTTTTCTGTGGAATGTGGTTGCTAACTCCATGTCCAAGCCTCTTCCTTTATCCGGGCTTGGGAAAAACAGTAGTTCCAGAGGGGCTCCAGGCGGGGTTAGTTCTGAAAGAATGGATTAATCAATTAGTTCAAAGGCTTGGACAGGCTTTATAGGCTTAACATATTGGTAAACACTACGATCAACTTTGAAAATGGGAAACACTTATTTTGTAAATGTAACCGATGTAAAAATAGTTGTAGCAAACTGAACTGAAATAAATCTATAAATTTGTTTTGGGAGTGGGAAAAGTGCACAAATGTGTTTTGAGTAATTGCAATTTGTACATATATAACAGATATTTGTTATAATTTTACGCAACTGGTGCTGAGAGTTCTGTACTGAAGTAAAATTTATCGTATTGAATCAACTTATTATTATTATCATTAATAAATAGGAAATCCTACATACAACTAATGGAAACTTATATGTTTCAAAAGTACAGCTTAAGAGTTTTAGTTTGTGCTTGATTGACTGAACAGAATTATAAAACACGAAACTAAATTCGTTTAAAATGACAAGGTATTTCAAATGAAAAAGTAACTTTAAATTCATCCATCTTTATTTATAGTGACGTTACTACTAAGTTATTTTCTCACACGACAATTCATACTGAAGTATAATTGCTACACTGCATTACAGAATCACCTATAGTTGAGTTTTAACACAGGTTAGATTCTTTGCTTTGTTTTCAATTTAATCCTTGAAACGAATCATTATAATTCTGTGTAATTGTAGTTACTTAAATCCTTTTTAAGTAGTTAAAAATTATCACTGAAATTATTCGAACATAATGTAATACATATCTGTGCAACAACGCAGTTTGGAGTTAAATCCTAAACGAACAATTTTATGTGCTCTTACTTTAGTTTACCACATTTATGTTATTTTATATTTTGTTTACATGGTTTATTCTAAAGATAAACCTGTCTACTTAGATTAGGTGTAGTATGCAGTTGAAGATATCATGACATGTACTGTTTCTGAAATGAAATCATTATGAACATTCACATTGATATTGTCTTTTTGTGGTGAAACAAATCAATGTATTATTAAGTTTGATAAAAAGCTATTTTGTACAAATATTCGAATGAAATAAATCTAGTCTGAGGTAAAATTTCGATTCCAAAGTCAAATCAGGTAATATAAAGTATTCAGTGAACTACTTCCTTACTTGATGAACGAACTTCCTAATTTGAACTTTTAGAGTTCTTTCATTCAAATCCATAAATTAAAATGGTATGAATGTCGAAGAACATAATTAGTATTCCATTATTTCAAGCATTTAAATGTGATAATAAATTTATGTACAGGTGTATGAAATATTCTCAAAACAAAATTAAACTATCTTTTGGTAAATGAATCTCATATTCAAGAGAATAGATCAACAAATAATATAGAATGAGACTATAAACTGTTTATTAGAATTTCCAAATAAATCAAAAATGGTTTTTACATCAATTTTCAGTTACTTCTTGAAAATGCTTCTCTATTGATTTTCATGACTGCTCATGTTTATATTTTACATGAACACTGTTTTATAACGGTAACGTTTGTTCTATTCACTTGATAGTATATTACAAACGTATTTAAAAAAATGCAATATCGGTCCCTGAAGCCTTACTTAAATCGTTTATGATGTGTAATGGAGGTTAGATCGTGATTATTAGTAAGATTAAACATGGGTTGTATGGTCGTATAATAGTGTTAAACAAAAATTCAAAATAAAATTATAATCATCATGATGGTATTCAAGTAATGACGATTGTTTCACATGAAGAAAATGTTCACTTATTGAAAAACAAATGAGTTATCCAATGAACATCTGAACAAAGTATCACCATAATACAATTATATGTTTAGTGTTGATATAAAATGAACTACACTCCTCAAATAAAAAGCATCCTTTCAAATAAATGTATGCCATTAAATTATTTATAGATTCATTTGTAGTGTATAGAAATTGGTTGATTAGTTTTAACTTACATTGGTAAAGTAATCGTCATCAGAAATGTTAGTATTTCTTAGCCTGAACAGAAAAAAAATTACAAAAAAAATGTTCTACATTATTCATTTCAACAAGCTTTATGATATGAAAAATATCAGAGCATCGATTTACTGTAAATAAAAAAATCCTTTCTAACAAAATTCATGAAATATGTAGAATATTTGATATGAATAAAAAAAAAAAATTGATGTACAGTTGATGACTCACTGAATAATGCATTCTTATGAATAAAGTAATAATAATGTTAATGATAATAATAAATTTTTGATAGATTATTATTATAAATTTTGTATTTTCAAGACAAGAGTTTGCATGTATTTAGCTGACTTCTTAAAGGATAGAAATGCAGTCAACAAGTTTTCATGATATCTAGACATGTAGTAGTCAATCATTAAATATAAACAAAATTATTCTTCCACTAGACTATTGGTCACCATTATTAATCAATTAATACCTAATCTATTTTAAGTAGCTGTGAATTGTCCAATCAAACGATGCATATCTATTTCAAATCTTATCATGTAAACTGGCCAATAAAATGTCTTTTTTTTAAAAAAATAGCGCTAAATTTGCTTATATTGAAGTTTGATCAAAAGCAATTATAAAACTGAATTTGTTAAAATTCAATGAAAACGAAAAATTGAACATCATCGATCGATTAAATAGACAATATTCCTTGAAAGTGTTTACAAATAAATAATTTCATTTATTTATTGTCAAATAATGAATGATTGAAGAAAGAGTTTATAATTTCATGATTTATGTAAAGCTCATGTCGGTATCACAATGTGATTTATGCATTTTATGGATTACAGATTCACACTAACCATCGTCGATCTTCACTTCATTCTTAATGGAAATGCATCATTCAGTCCTGAATAATACAAGACAATTCAATCATATGAGGTTTACCTACCACAGACAAACAATTGGTTAATCAAGGAGAAACTGCAAGGTAAAACCTACTAAAAAAAACAATGAAACAATCATCAAGTTACAGCATTCAAATATTATTTCAATTTTTCCAATCTATCGTGTTATTCAATTTATCAATGATCAATATTCAGTGTACAAGCCCACAAAGTAAGTCAAGCTAGTTCTCTTTTAAAGACTAAAGGTAAAAACCTACATTATCAATAAATTAAGATTAACTAGATTAGATTTTAATCAGTTGTTTCATCACAGAAGATTCAATTTTTCAAGTTCATTTTCAATAGCTATAAGTGTTGTCATTAATGCTGTCTTGTTCGGCAGTGTTATTTTCTTTTTTAAACCATCAGTAACATACAACATAAATATTTGTTAGATATGGAATTCAATTATTAGAAAGTTTTATTCATTCAGTTTTTCATTATAAATCAAGTCCGTGAATATATGAACAGTACTTTAGATGTTAATTTTAGGGAGGTATATTTATTGGTTCATTATGATTTTAGTGAGCTAAATTAAAAAGTGGCTTATCATTCGGACGAGTAAAGTTAGTATAATCATTTAAACTGTATCGTAAGACGTTCTAGTTACGATCATTATACCAAATGGGTATTTTAACCCTGTTGACCAAAAAATCTAAGGAATCGATACCGATTCGTAACCAAATCAATGAGGTATTGGAAAGTAAAGCGAGTCCTAATAAATATAATAGTCAATTTGAAAATCACAGAGGTGAAATGTCTGAAACCAATGAGCTTTATGAAATTGTGACCAACCTATCATGTATAATTAATGACTATAACACCACTAACTATATTCTTAGTACTAAAGTAATACTTTTTTGAATGAGCAACAAGCATTTTTAACAAGACATAAGAAAAATTTAAGCTCATCATTTTGGTTATGGGCTTAATAACCTTGAACGTCATTAATCTGTTTTACTTTAACTGGTGAGTGTATATCATGAAAAAAAGAAAACGAAATTATCGAATCAACATAAAACCAGATTTGGTATTTTATACAGTTAAGTTTTAATAGGTATTCACTTTTTTTTTTATAAAAGATCGGAGATAATTCAGATAATTTACTCATAGAGAAGTCCTTTAAGTGTCGTTTTTGACCAACATAATCCTGAGTTGATAGTGTTTTCTGACATTACCCAACATAAGGAAATAATATATATATTTCTGATAATCTTCATCTCCTCATTATACTACTCAAATTAATGTTATAAGTAAAATAACTTTGTAACTTTTCATCACTTATCATTCAATAATCAAATGATAGCGTCCGTATAAACTTGATAATTTACTTTGTTTTTCTTTGAAACAGGTGTCAATGAAGTGATTATATTGTTTGACTAGATAATGTATTAGGTATTTATATAAAAATAAGTTAATTTAATGAACTGACAGTAGATGAAAATCGTTGAGAACCAAAGAACAATGAATGTTCATTTGGTTATAGATACCAACTTATGCAGCATATGCACCTACCACTATTTTACCCAGCATTGAACTCATAGGATACAGTTTGTATCAGTCATTTCGCAACACTTCGCTGACATCAGCGGTTACTATCAATAATATACACGCAAGCCTAACACAGATTTCCACTACCAAAACGTAATGTTTATCCACATCTTAGTGAATTAAAATGACAGTTTAGTTATAGACGTAACGTGATTAAAAATTACCATCAAATTAAAGAAAAACCTTATATGAACAGTGAGTTTTACACATCGGTAAAATAGAAAATGTCATGAAAGATTTTTTTTCTTAATGAACTAGTTTGCAACAACAACATGATACCCGTTTATATATATTGCATAATGTGTATGTCCAATATATATATATATATATATATATATATATATATATATATATATATATATATGCCAACAGCTAATTGAGTGAATAGTATTTCTATACACATTTAAAAATTCCATAGACGTTTATTTGTTTGAATTTAGGTACATGATTTATTAAATATTATTTTGTGTTATAAAATTTGTGAAATTTTTCAAAACTTATCACCATTTATTCCAGACATTTTCAGACATTGAATAATAATTGTTCATTAATTGTCCTCACTGATCTTACGAAGACCTTTTGACGTATGACATCAAATACAAATTCGTTTATATGTATATATATGTGTGTATAAATAAACTGTAGACTTGAAATTTACTATTACTGTGTAGGGATGCATTCACATCAATGCTTTAGGCGCAAAAACTTCGTTAACAGTCTCGCAATTTGATTATTATCACTATCCTCATTTCAGTACATATCAATGAAAAATCCAGAATTAAGATCATTGTTTCGATAGTAATTTTTATTTCACTGGAAACCTTTGAAATTTCATTATGTATCAAAAATTTGTATATAGGAAATCTGATTTTTTCGCTTTTAAATCTGACACTTGGAAACATTTAACACTTTACGTTGAAAATTCCACTTTTTCTAATGGAATAATGTTTTTTATCATTATTACTGTTGCTCAATTCAAAAATACTATTATAAGTCCAGTTTATCCTCATTCACATTAATAAATTACTCACTTTTGAAACCATGAATCGATCAATTTTAGACTACCATTAGAAACCTGGAAGCACTGGACGGCCGCTTCGTCCTGGTATGGAACTCGTCAACAGTGCTCATCCACGACTCTTCCACCCCGCATAATCCAGCCCGGGACCCTCGGCATTGTGCGCGAACGCCTAACCTCTGGACCACTGAACCGGCATCTGGCGGTGTTATTGTATAAATTGATCAATTGACCGTTGGGTGTTCGCGCACAATAATGAAGGTCCTGGGTTTGAATACTGCGGGATAGATGTGCACTGCTGTTGAATCCCATACCAGGACTAGACGGCCGTCCAGTGTTTCCAGGTTTTTAATGGTGGTCTAAAATCGATCGATTCATGGTTTCAAAAATGTGTAACTTAACAATCTTCACAAACTTAACAATCTTCCAAGTTTATTAGAATAATTAATACGGTGACCTTTCAAATTTTTGTTTTTGAATGTAATAAAAACTGTTCAGCACACCTACACTAAATGAAGATATGGTTTTCTCCATTCTTTGATCAGCCGATTTGAATAGTATAACAGTTCATTCATGGCTAGATAATCAGTGCGTTCTACGAGCTAAAGCTTGAATGATTTTTTCAGAGCATAAGATAATAAATGTTAATTTTAACAACACAGGAAGAAAGATGGAAGGTGTTTGCGTAAATCAAATAATTAGAAATACTATTTCACTGATCTGTAGAGATTTTAACACAGTGATGTAGTTGAATGGTAAAAGAGATTATCCTTATCGTCTTTCGGAACTGTTCAACTTGCTAATCATTCCTAGTAATAAAAAAGTTTTTTCGTGGCTTTACGAAGTTTCGTTTCATATAGCTTTGTAATATACACAATAAAACGGATATTGCTCATAATTTTTGTTAGGGTTATATTTCTAGTTAGTATAAAATTCACAAGATATTTTGTTAAAAACAGCGAAATTTATCATGTCATTACACTTCATCACCAAAGTGTGACCTTCTCCGGAATTAAACTTTTTTTTACTTATTATCAAAAAACATTTATGAATGTGGTCGTCCGTTAAACCTGTTGATTTCGAATGATTTTTCACCTAAGACAAAAGTAACTGACGAACCCTTATTCATACCATTTATTCTCACTAGTTATAAAAAAATGTTCAAATTTTCTTTGGTTGCAAGTTGTAAATCAGAAAAAGAAAAAACAATGAAGGAAAGTGAAATGAATGTCGAAAATAGATTTATTCAATAACTTACTCTACTATTGTTAACAAATCATCAATTCACTTGTATATTTCCGAATTTTGTTTATGCTATAAAATTTCGATATGCCTGAGAAATTTTACATTTATATATATATATATATATATATATATATATATATATTTGTATACAGGTCATCAGAAGAAAAATAGCTGTTAGTTTTTTTTTCTCAATGTAAATCAAATCTATTCTCATAAATCCTGATAACGATAAAAAGTAGTCAGCCGTATATTTTCCTATAAATGTTTCTTCTATAAAAATCCGATTTCCACTACTCGATAAAAGTTTCAAACGGAATCCATTCGTTTACCTATCAACAATAAATATTCATATTTATTTATGTAGTTAGTCAGAACAAAAAAGAAACGATTGTTTTATTTCATACCAACTTACGTATTTATTGTTGAAAAGTAAGAAAAAGAAACACTTTTAATTACCATGCCTTTTGTAACTTTGAAGAAATTTGTTTCGCATGAATTTTAAGCATTATTTATTGAGTTTCAGATATTTTAAAATTGTATACAATTTATTCAACTATGAAATATTTACGCTTTGTACCGTAAAAGTCCGGTATACATTCCTATTAATAATAAATACCCATGAAAAACATTCTATGACATGCATTGAAACGAAATAAAAGTGAGTATTATTTTGAAATCTTTTTTTTGCGCTACCAATAATAAAAACGGTTTCATTGGACTGAAGTATATTGAATATTCTTGCTTTAAATTTAAAGAAGCAATATGAACTGACAAATATTAGACAATACATTACATATATTTAATAAATATTGACAGTCGAAAATAATTATTTGTTTAAAGCTTCAGGTGATAATATCATAGAATGAAATCACTGAGTTAACATTGTTGCAAAGCGATTTCATATAAAATGTGTTTCATTCTTATAGTGATATGAAATTAATTTAAATGAAGCAGTTAATTTAGACTGAAAAAAAATTGAATTTACAAGCATAATCAACAATAGGTTTCTGATAAATATCAACTATACTGCTGAATAATTATTTCTATTTGGAATACCGTCTTCAGATAATAGTGCAACCGATAGACAATCTTAAAACAAAACACTTTCTGTATTCAATAAAAAAAAGGCATTCTGATCTTACTATCATCGAAGGTGTATCTAACAGAACCCAGACTGGTGGAGCTTGTTCACAAGAAATAACTTTTTAAATTTTATCGACCACACTGATCCTTTATTGTTACCAAGTTACGAAAAGAACAATGACCATGGCGACTAATATTTGTTTCCAAGAACATTCGATTTGTACGAACCGATGCTAAAGATAGTTCTAGTTTCATAACACGATATGTTTTTTTCA